AAACGTCGTATACATGAAAGCAAAAAGAGGGGTTCGACTGGATACAAGAAAAGAAGAATTACCAAAAAAACTATGTAAGGTAGGTAAACATAATGAAAACGTAAATGAGGAAGGGGAAACATATGGTGCAGGACGTTTTTAAAGTGATTCTTAGTTTTAAAAAAAAAAGTATTTGGATGAATTTACTGAAAGTGTTCGAGAAACTTTTTTAAATAATATTAAGTATTTCTTACCTTTCTACAATTTTATTAATAAAAACATTATTTATACATATGTAAAATAATGTTAAAATATTTTATATTAAATAAAATCATATATTAGGACATGTTAAGAAGTAAATATTATAGGTAAGCGTAAAAATATTCTTAAAATGTATTTTTCTCATAGGGAAATTTTCGCGATTATTACATCTTCAAAATGCTCCATGCGCTTTATTTTATGTTCAAAATGACTGTAATTTGTAATTTAGATTCCCATTTATACATGTAACAAAAATTAGCATGCATTTTTGAATGCGAATTCATTAAGGGGATAAAAGTCCAATTAAAGTGTATTAAAGTGGGAAATTTTGTCCAAAATTCAAGTATATGTGAAAGAAATATTAATTAAAAACTAACATTTTATGCAATTCACTAATTGATACTAAGTTGTGTTTGCAATGCATTTTTAATAAAAATAAAGCAAAAATAACAAGAAACAGAAAAAAATTAAGTCGCAAGGAGCATTTTGAAAAAATTAAAAAAATTCAGAAGAAATTTGAAAAAAAAAATTAAATTGCAATGATCCAGAAATTTTTTTCAAAGATATTGATATAATTATAGTAAAATATACATGCATACAAGATTTCATAATTCTATGACAATAATTTAAAAAAAGTATTTGAACGTCCACTGTCCCCTTAAAGGAAGAGGAGAGAAAAATTGTAAATTATACAAAGATGATTCACTTATTGCAAGAATGAACATACCCTGAATTGTCTCTGATAACTCCAATAATTTAAATTGAAAACAATAGCCGCCATTTTTAAAAGAATAAATCGATACATGCTAATGCAGGAAATAAACAGATATCTTTTGCTTTTTATAGCGGAAAAGAATACAAAATTTAACAAAGTTGAACTCGCGTTACAAATTTCACATAAAATGATAACAATTTTTTTTTTCGCTGATCATAATTTTTAAATACACCAAAAAGAGCTCAAAAAGAAAGATTTAGTATGCATTGTTAAAACGAGCAAAGTACAAAGTAATCTGAAGATGTGATAAAATTTAGTTTAGGAGGAGATTTAAGAGTTAGGAATTTATCTCATGACTTCCAAAATAATGAAATGCAGTTGCCTAAATCACTTTTATTTTAAAATATTAACTTTTTTTACGCTTCTTTTCCTAGTTGAGAAATTTAAGTGCTATGAACAGAAGGAAGAATACACGCTTATGCTTACTTTCTGAGGTATCTTTCATGCTATTCAATTAATATGCAGCATGGTTTTGAGAATGAAAATATACATTTTGATATGATTTTAATAATGAACGTTTTGAAAAATGAGCAATTTATGAGCAATGTTTTATCTCTTATTGATGACTAAATTGACCAAATCTTAAAAAATAAGGCTTTTTGTAATATGGTTTATCTTTTTTAACTTCCTTAAACAAATATTCCCAGTTTTATGTAGATGTTTCTCGTTTGCAAATATTATCATGCGCAATATCTTTTTTTATTATTTTTTTAGCGTTCAAATGTATTGCTTCAATAGTATTTTAATCCGCTCCGAGAAATCTTATATGCATTTCTGCCCACTCGGTGATTATTTAATATGATCACATTTAAATTATAAGAACTGTGTATTACAATATTTTCTTCTATATCGTGGAAACTGAAATAACATTAATCAGAGATCTGATATTTCATTTGCTATTTTTATGATTATTGCACACCTAGAAATGCAATATTATTTTTAACCAGTTTGCCAACACATGCTGAGTCATACGAAAAATTCTGAGTCTACATTCATATTTTAACTAGCATTCAATTAATCGTTTTGAAAGAAATTTGGAAAAATAATTATTATAAAAATACGATCAGAATATAATGTTGTAATGCTTTCAGGAGCCTATCTAAACAAACGAATGTTTCATCTTAAAGAAAATTTTGTACTTTTGTAATTTATTTCGCAATATTCTTCATTCTGTAGTCAATCAATTTTACAGTCTTCATTTAGTTCTTTGCTCAGTATCCGTAATTAACTAAGCGCTAAAATACACAAGCTATACAAAATTAGAAAAACGCGCCGTCAAATTTTCTTCCACCTTTATATTTACAGCCTTTCATTTAAAGATTTTACGCCGCTCCTTAAAATCCAAGGTTTTTAGATGTGAAAAATTGTTTTAAATTTTCAGCTGAGTAGGATGTAGTTCAGTTTGTCTAATCAATCAGTTTAGATGATAGAGCTAGTTATCGTGGATTTTTATTCATATTGACAATATTTTTATTCATATTCCAGAAAGATGTTAATAATAAATGAAAAATGTTATTTTTTCAAAATGTTATTTTTTATACATAATATGAGGATGTCTGCGTGTGGAGCTTAAAAAGACCATCATTGAAAAAAATACGATTTCACTTACGATTTGTTGTAATGCTTTCTGAGGAATTTAAACATTCCAGGAAGTTTAATTTATGGTTCTGAAACAAAATTAATATCTGAAGACGAATTTTGAAGCAAAAGGATCTTTTTATGCTGTTAGTACCGTGTATAATTGGCTTTTATTGTTTTTAAGTATGTAATGCTTGCATCCGTTTACCTTATGCCATTGAGAATCTGTGCAAAAACAGAAGAATCGACCTTGATTCTCAACATTCCTTTAAGCTTTAAGATTTTATTGATATTTTATTCAAACATTCACCAGGAATGGTGGCAATTTATTTATTGTTTTTATTAGCTGATACTTTTATTAGTAGAAAATTTTCACTCATAAATCGATTTAATTTATGAATTTCCGACTTTTAAGGAATTCAGATGTCGGAATTTATATAAAATATAGAAAGTATTCTTTAATGGTAAGAAGATATATTTTTATACTAAAATCTTAATTTTAATAACAACTTATGTAACATATGAGTATTTAAGTAATTCTATATTATTTTTATGGAATTTTTAATTCGAACGGTTTGCATAACTCTAAAATACCCAATTTTTATCATTTAAAAATTTACTAAAGTTTAATTAAAAGTACACAATTTTTGTTTAAGTTTGAATGTATCTGTTTAAGTCATCTGCGTGAAAATAAGCAAAAACAGCCTTATCTTTTGCATATTTTTACAGGTAAAAGAAAACAAATTTTCAGAGAAAAAAAATAAAATTTCTCTTCCTCTCAATGGAAAACCAAATCTAAATAAAACTTTCAGAAACTTATGACAAAATAATTAATAATTTTATGTGGAATGTTGTAAACAGAGGAACTGATATACTTCAAAATTTTAGTTCATACTGATATGGCTCTTTGAAGATATATTTGATTGCGATCTGATATTATATTATTTGGTTTTTATTACGTCTATGTTTAACTGCTGTATCAGTATACTATTGAAATAATAATTATTTTTTACCATTTTCATGCATTATATCATTGCAGTGTCTTTAGTATTACTTCAGCTTTGAGAAATCGCACTGTTTTGGCGTTTCCGAATGGAGTAAATAAATAAATATTTAAAAAAATATTAAATGACGCAATATTTAAAAATATTTTTCACTGTATTTCAAAATATTTGGAAATGTAGCAACATAAATTTACCTTAAATTTTAAATATTATAGATAAAAACACATTCATATTTTGTTGTTGTTATTATTTACTATTATTATTTTTATATCTTTATTATTCTTTCAAAATTATTCATCATATTACTTCTTTTTTAATTTTAGTGCATTTAAAATAATTTTTAAAAGTGTATTTTTTAAAAGTGTATTTTTATATTTATTTTTTTAACTTTGAAATGGGACAAATGTAACTTATTTTGTGTTTTAATTTTGAAGAAAGAGAAGAACAATAAGGGGGATAGGAAAAAGGAATATTAATATATATTTTAATCTATATTAATATTCTTGTTTAGAAAATATATTTACTTACTTAATATTATATATTACTTACTTAGCTTTCCAAGTATAATATATATATATATGTACGTATATAATTAGTAAGATCGTTTGTTTTTCTTACATTAACTGTGCATATTATATACTTTAGTGATATAAAACAGCAGACGATTAGTAACTGTATGAATTAAAAAACTCCAAAATATGTATACTTAATTGAAGTTTCAGTATATTTAAGGACAAGCAATTATTACATTTTATATGCCATACATTCTTTACGAGTATTTTTCGGTGGAAATATATACAGTTAAAATCTTCAGATAAAACAAGCCATCCAAATTAATGCTTAACGTAATTCTTAGAGTAGATGATTACATTTGTTTAAAATATGATGACAACTTGATGGAAACTTCATAATAACTACATTGTAGTGCCTTCTGAGACTCGGATATGTTTTTTAGTTTATCAAATGGGATAAAGCAAATTTATACTATTTATTATTCATGCTCCCATTAAATTTAATTCGAAATCAAAATGAGTTAAATTACAACACTGCCCTTCAGAACTATTTTTGGTATATCCTATACATTTAAAGCTTCGTAATAAAAGAAAGCGGAAACTTTTACACAATTCATGGAAACATACATTCTGTTTTTATTTAGTTTGCTATTTCTTAAGCTATTATTTTATAGATAATACTTATGAACTTATGGCTGGAGCAAGTCGCAGCAAGAAGTAAATCATTAATTAAAAGAAAAAAGTAAACATAACCTGTGTCTTAAGATGAAGGAAAGTCTAAACGTTCGGGTAAGAGGGACCATCCATTTCATACATCTGCCACTAGGTTATGCATTTTATACACCACTTCTCCTAAAGTACTCAGAAGGTAAACATAATAAATTTACTTACCTTTGGTCCAAATCCGCGCCATTTGGTGAATACCCAACTCTCCTGCAACACATATTTCCCATATCGTCCCTGAGATCACAACAGCGAACATCGCTGACAATTCATACAAAAATAAGAAATAACAAGAAGCAAGGATTAGCTCTGCTGCAGTTTCTTTCGTACGAAATCACATCTCTAAGTCCAAAACAAAACCGCGCACTCTCCTGTTTTCTTCTTCGCCAGGAAACAGCTGCGACACACGAACAACAAAGCAGATAGCTTCTACTGAACGAAAAACCAGGGAGTCTTCAACTTCACCTGCAAGCTGATTCGTTTCTACCTGAGATGGAGTTGAGAAGGAGGGAAGGAGGAATCATTATACAACTAGAATGGAGGGAAAGAAACGCGTGATTGTCTCCCTCCCCACTTTTTTCTCTTTTCGCAACCCTGAGGACGCGTTTTGAAAAACTTCAGTGTTGCTATTCGTGGGTGAATGATTTCCTTTCGGACAAACGGCAGATGATCCTTTTTTATTGGATTCACGGGATTATGATTTTAAAAATTGGCTGATTAGCTCTTGTTATTCTTTGCATCTAATAACGGCTTACATAGTCTTGGAATATCGGCTCATAATGATCGAAGTAGCTTTTATTACTATTGAGAAAGCAAGATGGATATGACCAATAGTTGAAAAATTTTAAGTGCACTCGGCTTTAAATTATTTACATCAGTGCTGCCAAAGGATGACGTGTGGGCCACATACATCCAATCTGTTTATCACGGTGTAGAGACATTAGGTATTTTTGGAAGCAGGCAAGATGAAGAACTAAAAAACGCCTTCGCCGGGACTCGAACTACGGACCTCTGGAATACCGGCCAAGCGTGCAGAACCACTACACCATGAAGGCACGCTAGGAAAGTGGTAGAAATTGGCTATATACTCCCCTTTTTAAAGGGCGACTGGGGCTTTCAGGGTACCCAATCGCCAAATCCTGGGTGTGAAGAAAACTCATCCAACACTCTTTTAGTTCGGGCGCCACTGTTGGACTTGTATGTATTCTGATTTGCTTTCGGAATATGATGTGTTCTGAATGGGAACAGGGAGTTACTCAAGCTATGTTTAAAATATATGTGGAATGGACAACACAAGCAGAAAGAGTTGATTTTAATTTTTATTCTCTATAAGATTACAGGTGCTCCCGCACCGGGATACAGAGACTAACCACTTGTGGTCTGAACTTAAAAATATAAAACTACTAACTAAAATTTTAAATAAGAGCTGACTTTAAGTTAGTTTACAAATGCCTAACGCTAAGACTGGCCTTTTAAAAGATTACGTATGTAGTACGCAAACTGCCGAAGCTACAAGACGTTTTAATATCAAGAGGACTAAACCTCTGGCCTTAAAGGCGAACAGCAGCTGATTGAAAACTCGCGTGTAATGCAGTGGCAAGGCGGCTCACTTCCTTCTTCTCTCTCTAACTCTTGGCAAAAAGCCACAACTTAAATACTTGGGCGTTAGCAAGTGCAATTTGCATAAACAAGTTAACACATTTAATTCTGGCCGGAAGTGGAAAATAAGAAGTGATTGTAAAGTTTTAAAATAAAATAAACTTTAGTAAAACTTGAGGTACTTACAACGGCCTGAGTATCATTTTCATTTCATCGTATCAGTTACTGATCTTTCATTCGCAAACTTTAAAATGCTGCAAAATACCTTTTACATTTGGTCAGACTTCAAACTTTTAGCGCAATAATATAATCACGGACAGACACATCAATATCGAGAGCTTTCAAGATAATTCCAGGATATCTGAATAAGGCAGCAACTCTTCAAGTTATTAAGAGTGCAGGAACTGCGTATAAGCTGCACAAGCTATAGCTTAGGGCCTCCGCATTCTTGAGAGCCGTAAAAAATTATACGATATCCTTTACAAAAACCCCCATATCTCAAATAGTTTAGGGCCTCATCAAGTTTGAAACCAGCCTATTCCTTCAAACGAGAATTTAGAGCAAGTCTCTATCTGTGCAAGCCTTTGTGATTGACAAGGAGTTACGCACATTCGATGCCACTAGCGATTTATTTCGTGACCTTGGCTAATGTTTGCTGTTTACATTTGCAAGATCTGCACTTGCACTGTTCTCAGTTGGACCGTTTCATTGAGCAATGAATCGGCAAAATTGATCTGTATACATGAAAGGACTTATTATTCATGCTTTCACTGATCATCCTGCGAAATAAAATTACCATTCCTCCCACCAGAAAAATACATATGCGTATGCATATTAAAAAATAAATTTTACAAATGATAGATTAAAAATCTTTAAATAAGGTTATAAGCAATTAATAATCTCTTCAGTTTTGACACCGAATTCCAAGGACGTTTGTAAGTCTGGCCTCCTGACGGTAAGGTTTATGATTTGTGATTATTAGATAAATTTTATTTGGCTATCACAGAAGCTAAATCATTTTTTTTAGAGTTCCGGTTAAGGTAGAGACTGTAAAATGGCGTTGAAGAAAAAAATATATAAGTTGTCGGGTGTCCTTTTCGAATATAAAAATAAAATGTCAAAATGCTCAATCTAAGAGAGTTATACGAAATTCTGATGATTCTCTTTTAAATACAAAAAAAAAAAAAAAAAAAAAAAAAAATCGCTGATCGTATATTTCTCTGAAAAAAATTAATAAATTCCAATACTATTGCCGATAATTATCCTACAGCTGAGCAGTGAAAGAATGTACAGCTTTAAACAAGGCGTAATGCTTTAGTTTATAAAGTATTTTCTCCGTCTTCTCCGCATGCCTTCGTGGTGTAAGCCTTCTTCCATAGCGGTCAGCAATAATAAATTTTCTTTTAACGTATTTTTTAGGACTTTGAGTTTTTTAATATGAATTCTATTACAAGTTAAAACTTCTAGTGAGAAATAATTTCCATGGTTTTGTCCCACTCCTCTAAAGAATTAACTTTTAATAAGATTCATTTAACAACAGTTTTTAGTTTTCATTTCCTAAGGAATAATCGAAAATAAAAAAATGATTATTAAATTTAAATTTACAGTCGTAGCAGCGACAGCCTTAGATTTTTTACCTTTTGAAGTCCATTTACGTTTGAAGTATCTGTGTATCAATCTACCTATCTATCTCTCTATAAATATTGCATAGAACGTAGATTGTTGAATCCGTGATGAACAACAAGAGTTTTGATTACGTAGAATGTAGAACCATATTTAATGTAGAATCCATATTGAAAAGCAAACTTGGTAGCGGAGGAAGATTAAATAGTAATTTTTATTTCTAATTGGGGTTATCTCCTAGGAAGGATTATCCACTATCATCTATCTATTATCTCCACACACACATATATATATAGAGAGAGAGAAATAGAGAGAGAGACAGACACAAAGATTGCCCATTACTGCTGTAGTGATTCTGTTGCAGTCAGATGAATTTATTACCTAAGACGAACACATTTCTGAACGAATGGCCGTGGGACAGATGTAACTTTTCAGACATTAGCAAAATTCGATGCTTTATTTATTTATTTGCTTATTTATCATTTTCTAGTATCTCATCAGTTACAACCAACTTTACATGAAGCCGTTTCCGATTTTTGACCTTCATACACCGTTAGTTGCGAGTGGGAGACTATTTTCTTGCCTCATCTTTCCATCTCCAACCAACTTCTTTTTATTATTCTGATGGGTTACGCGTAGATTGTTTAAATGCAATGCCCCGTCTCCTTAACATACTGCGATGAAAACTAATGCTACTGTCACTCGCACGTACTAAATTTTCCTCTTATTAAAAGGATTCACTTCCGGTTCTTCAACTGTGTATGCTTTCTTGTTTTGGGGTAACTCATGTTTTCGGGGGGGGAGAGGGCGAGGGATGTCTATGTATTTTTAGTAGTCAATGTATCATACAAATGTTCTTGAAATCTTGAAAATGCAACTGTTTTTCCGTTTTAGTATTCGAAGATCAAAGTCTATTCTTAACAAAGAGATATTTACTGTGCGCAATTAGTTGAACATTTTAAGAAGTGTAAAAATTAAAGAGAAATTCACCTTCTTTACTAACGATCTACAAAGTAACGATCCATTCAGAAACATTATTAATTTTTCTTTCTTTTGAATGTTATACTCTCTATAGTTTATCTATAGTCTCTATAGTTTATCTATTCTATAGTCTGTATGCTTTCGCCATGAAAGAAATTTGTGACACCAAAAACATTTTATAGAAATTAGGATATTTATTTAATACCCTATTTTTACGTTATATGTTGTTTTTAAATCAGCCACAAAAAAATCGCATTCACAAAAAAAAAAAAAAAAAAAAAAAAAAACCTGCAATTTAACAAAATTTTCATTTACTAAGAATCAGTGAAGTCTTACGTGATGCACTGTACTTTAATTTAAACAGTGCATATTTTTATTTCCTATCAAGGAAACCTGTCAAGGACAGAATTTCGTATATAAAAGCGTCTTCAAATGCGTTATCAGTTAAGTTATGGACGTCCAAAATCCTTCTTTTCTAATTTTCCGTTGCCAATCCAAATGCTTTTATAAACATCAAAAAGCACATTTAAGTTCAAGAATTAAATATGAGGCATTAAAATGACTTCATACAAGAATAGAGTTACCGTTCTTTCTTTTTTCCCCCTTCAACGAAGAGGCGGAACTGTACTTCTTTCAGATATTTTTATTCAAGGGGTGTCTTCCAAATAATATCTAAAATGGAAAATACTTTACATATATACAATACATCAATATGGCAATAAAATACTTTATTTTATTGCCATATTGATGATTTTATAAATTCGCTACTGCTAGAAATAAGACTAAATTATACCCATCTGATATAGGTTTTACTTCAGTTTATAATAAGGCTGTACTGATATTTATATTGCTATGGCCATGTATATAAAGAAATAGCATTGCAGATACACAAAATGGAGTACATCGCAAGCTGTACCTGTACGAAGCCATTGTAAAAAATTAACCTCAGACAAAACTCCAAGTGAAGTGGGAATTAGATAAGTAGATGCATACATTTACGCGCAACAGGATTTGTAAATTATTGCCTATATTTACGAAAGATTGAAAAATACATCAATAATACTTATATTCTAAGAAACAGGCTGCTCTCTGAAAATACCTTTTCAACACATCTGACTGGTACCTGTCACGAAATGATAGCCTACAAACGATATTAATTAGTCTTAGAAGATTATTTTGAAATTCTTCCTGGAGCAAGAAAAGGGTCTTTTAAAGTACCATAAAGTGTCTTGTTTTACTAATGTCTATGTCAGCTTGTTTATGGAATT